TGACGTGGTTACCGACTGCAAAATAGAAAAGACCACAGTGTATCTGCTATTTTTCTTATTTATTTAATTTTCAGCAATAGAAATTAGATGAGTCTTTTCACTAGTCAGTTCCCGTAGATTTCCTTCGACCAGTTCAAACAGTGGTAAACTAACGCCCTGTCCCGGCACAATACGCCGGAGGAATTTGAAAACGGAGCCAACCCTCCACACTAATCCGTCACGAAAACAGAGCTTTTCGAGGTTAAAACCGTAGGAATTTCAGTGAAAACGCTGGCTTTTCGTTTTCGTGTGGACGGGAAACATTTTGAAAACGAACCTTTTCGAAAACGTTCGATAATCATGTGAATTCTCGGATTGAGTTTTCCTCAAACATAAATTCAAAATGACCGGTGATTGTCGCGTTTTTGAATTCCTCCGGCGTAGTGTGGACGCAAAACATTTGATGCGTTTTCAGCTCCGTTTCCGGCGTAGTGTTGACAGGGCCTAACACTACCCATAATTCCTCCAATAACACTTTTGCAGAATAACCTCTCTTGAAAGAGCTCGATATTTTAGGAAGTTGAGGCACTCTGAATGTCTGCATTCAAATTCTTTATTCACTGTGTAATGTTGTAATGTTAGTTCAGAGTTATTTCATGTGTTTTAGCTTTTTCATGATCAGCAACACTAGTGATGACGTCATCAGGCCACGCCCATGGTCATGTGACTAATACNNCGATTTTGTTTCATTTCTACAAGGTCAGATTTTGAGAGCATTTCAAAATATTGAAAAATTCGTAATTTTCTGAAAAAAAGCATGATTTCGAAAAAGGAACGCATAGCTATGTTTCCAAAGTTGGCTTTAATCGAAATTCGTCAAAAAAGGCTCTATTTAATGGAAAACCGCGTTTCCTTTAGCATTTAAAGAAACCGGAAGTGCGCCCGATATCTATTGGAAGTTACCCTATCAGCACGTGCGCAATTTACACTACCAGCACGCTTCGGTAGATCAAACAAAGCCACACGGAGTTACATACATAGTTTTTCTCTTTCTATTACTCTTGTTTTTCTGTCTTTCTTTTATTTTGTCTTTGCTTGTACTTTTGTTACTTCTCGTTTTGTCAAACACAAAGAAAAACATCTATAATGTAAGCGAATTTGCAAGCTTTCGAGTTGTTATTATTTTCCGCGCTCAGGCTGACGTAAGTAACCGGAAGTGAAATTTCACCTCCTTAACAACGCGCGCGAGCGCGCGCATGAATCAGTTAATAGGTTGGTTTAGCAAGAGAACGGGAAAGTCACTTGACGACGGCGCGCGCAATACAAATACCCAAATATGGTCAGATGTCGACTGCAGGGCGCGCGGAATAACCTGGATTCTGTTCTAATTTGACCATATTTGGGTATTTGTACTGCACGCGCCGTCGTCAAGTGACGTTCCCGTTCTCTTGCTAAATCAGCCTAATGGGCCCTTAACCTTTGGACGAAGAAGAATGGAGAGAGAGTATTTAGAGAGTCTGCCTTTTCGGTCAGCGGTATAGAATAGTAACCCATGATGCACTTCAGCACACGCAGTGGTCAAAGACCGGTAGATTAGAAAATTGTGTAAGGTTTTTCCTAGGGTGACCTTTGCAAATTTATGTCTCATTAAATATGCCGTCTGGTCGACAAAGAACATCAGCAAATGCACCTGATGCCTCCACTGTGACCTTAAACGAAAAAATCCTGAAAGAGTGTCACGATTTGTATACAGAGAAGGATAGAGGTAGTGTGTTTAGACTGTTTATAACTTACGTTGACGTGGAACCTTATGATGGCGGCACAGCTGAAGATCCAAAAAGATCCAACACTCATAAGTGATTTTAATGCTTCATGTCACCTGATTTATGAACACTGTGCTGTGTTTAGGTCTTGTTACCATTGCTAGTGGGCTGGGATTGAATCTACTGGCTCCAAGAAAGAAGATAACTGTCTTGCTGCTTGGAAATCATTCTGCTGGTAAAAGCTCTTTTATAAACTGGTAGGTGACACTGTTTATGCATTTTAAAAAAGATTTATAACTAGAATGTAATGTCCCCTTACAGTGTTGATGCATAGTAAAGTTAAAAGATGGCAAAAAAGGATGTGTTAATAATTAATTGATTGATTTATTGATTTATTGATTGATCGGTTGATTGATTGATGGATGGATGGATGGATGGATGAATTGATTGATTGATTAATTGATTGATTTATTGATTTATTGATTGAATGATTAACTGACTGATTAGATGACTGAGTGAATGCTTGAAAGCTATTGATTTAACTAGGAATTTTTTTTAATTTAGTTTTTTTTTTTTTTCACTAACCCAGGTATGTGGAAGAACATGTTCAGAAGACCGGTGTTGCTATAGAGACCCAGGGGTTCACTTTCGTCACGAGTGGGAGAAAAAGAGAATCTCTAACTGTGAGATAATCATTTTTTTATTGTTAAAAATAGCAAAATCTGTTGGATGACTTACAGTATCTATGTTGTTCACTGTGGGTTTTAGCCTATTAATTTATTATACCTGTTTGTCTTTAATTATCCTTTATCTCTTTATCTCTTAAACATAAAAGAAACCAACAATGGTATTCATTTACAAAATTTTAGACCATCACTGCACTTTGTGCGTGGCATACCAAAGGTGAATTTAAAGAACATAGATTAATTTATTATAAAAAAAAATTTTCCCAGTACTTTTTACTTGCTTGTCCCCAAAATTCTAACCTTTTGAACAAAAATGTTATTATTATTCACAGCAAATTAGTATATGTTACTGAAAGAATAGCAACTGCTGTCCATAGCTTTCTGATAAGGGACAATACTGTTTGCTGCCAGGAAGTTTAAAGTTTACATGTCAAAACATTGTCATAATTTTCTTTTAATAGGGAAATGCTACATTACATCTTTATCCACATTTCAAATCTTTGCAAGATCTTAAAGGTAAGTTCAATCCAGTGACGGTGAAGAATTTAGAGGTGATAAAAGGGCAGTCAATATTTATTAGTATTTTAATTCCAGTCTTTGAACAGTTTGATATATGACACATGACAAGCCTCTTGCTTATCAGCTGCAGATATTTTAGTTAGTGTAATTTTTTACTCCACATGATTTTTTTTACATTTAAGTAGCATGTTATTTTTGCAGGTGTTGTGGATTACTTGACGACTGAAATCTCAACATCAAAGCAAAAGAAGTTCAGCCTGGTGACATTTGTTGACACACCTGGACTTGTTGATGGAGACATGAAGTATGCATTTGACGTGGATGAATCCATCCTGTGGCTAGGTCAGTTAATCTGTGAAAATTTACACTGATTCTATGATTTTCACCCTTGGTTGACAGAAGCACTGTCCTCTTTAGCATGCAGCTTTTTTTAGTAAAATGGTTAGCATCATGCTTCTGCAGGGCTGTCATTAAGTTTCAAGTCACCTGTTGCCTTGAAATTCAAGCCCATAACAAAGTTTTTGGTAATGGTGGGTGAATTGAATAAAAAAACAAGCAAGATAGTTTACCTGTAGCATACTCAACCATAACAGGTGTTATGGGTGATTGCCCTTAATGGCAGCCTGCTTTGTAATATATTGACTCCTGAAATACATGTACATACACTCACAGGTATAAAAGAATGAAAATAACTAAATCACTTTATTAATGCACCAAGCTTCTAGTGTGAACAGTCGTCAGATATAACTGTAATTTGGCGTGTTGGTTTTTGAGGATGGAGAAAAACTGGAGAATCTGAAGAAAAGCAAGGGTAACCATGTGTGTATAGTCCAAATTACAAGCCTCCATGCATAATGTATGCCACTAGTCTGGGAAATTTATAAACAACCCCCATCCTTTACCCTGCTGGGATATGAGGAGTTTGAAGAACTGCAAATGCACAAAGTTGATTATGTATTCAACATGGTGCAAGTTTATTCTTATCTTTGTAGGCAATCTGGCTGATCTGATCTTTGTGTTCTTTGATCCAATTGGACAAGCACTTTGCAAAAGGACGTTAAATTTAGTTGGTAAGCTAACTGTTTCAATTCACCATTAGATTACTCATTTTTACCAGGGTAATCAGGGTGTTGTGGGATGACGCATTTTTGTGTTCCTATCATTTGCCTATAACAGTTATGGATAGTTTCAAGTTTGAAATTGTGCAGCTTTTTTAAATGAAAGTATCCTTCGACACATTTGTTTTTGCCTTCTGCTCATTCAAAATTTCTGACTGAAGAATAATTTGTTTCCAGAATAGTCCACATTTGACTGCATGGGCTTGGTTATCACATTGTCTCTTACAAGAGACTCAACTGTCATATTCACCCATACATGCTCATGTAGTACAGATGCTTCACAAACCTATTTGTTGTTCCATGTAGAAAAGCTGAATGAGAAGCAAGGTGATCGTATCAGGTTTTTCCTAAGTAAAGCAGACACAGCAGGACAGGAGAGTGACAGACAGGTATGTACAGGAACACTGTAACAACAGTGACTCAATTCTTAGTTCAACTACATGTATTTGCACTCATCACAAGTGACAAAGAAAGATTGTGGGCAGGAGCTAGATTCTGTTTCCAAAACTCGTCAATGATAAGTTAAGAGTAATTTTTACCTCACTCGCCTCAAAGTTTTACAAAAAATGTTTCTCAGTGTCTCACACAAAACTGTCTCTTAACTAAAAACTTAACATATAAGTTATGTAGCCCTTTTCACAAAATGGGTTATGCCCTTGAAACAAAAACACTGGAAAGGCTAACTATTGAAAGTCTTTCAAAATTTATTGCTTCTATTATTCCTTTATCTCCTCTCAACTCATGAAAGTAAATGAAATTTACACATACTCAGACAGGCATTTTGTTATGGAGTTAATCACCTTTTATGGTGCAGGTACATGAACTGCTCACATTTTTCAATCTGTCCTTGGATGTTGGTTCAAAAAAAGGTACAAACCTTGTGGAAGGACTGCATGGTGGACAATGTTAAAATTTTTCTGCTGAAGGACTGAAGGGGTTTTACTCTTTCATTCTAAGTTGTAATATTTCTCTTGAGTAGAAGGTGTTGATGCAAATAACTCAAGAGCTTTGTAAAAGGCCTGGACTCAACAAAGCAGGATTTGAAATGCCGACTATTTACATCCCAACACTGTTGGACAAGGTAACACTGATACATCCTGTACCACCAGGACTTGTAACACAAAAGCCTGGATAGGAATCATCTCCTATCCAGGGAAGTAGGAGGCAAATAAAAAGCTTTGCTGGCAGGGAGGAGCAGGAAAAAAATAGGGAGAAAGCGTATAGCTTGACTGTCATGCATAGAAAGGACACAACTGCTACCCACCTACCTAAAAATAGAAATAAACACCACACCCTATGAAATTTGAAACAAAACCCCATCCTTTTCGTAAAATTCAGTCACAACAAATGTGTGGCATTTTTGCCCAAAATGAAGTAAAATTGATAATTACATAAAATTTAGCATTCCCTTGGTTTAATTAATGGAGATAGAAAAAAAAACGTGAAATTTAAAGAAGCACTCTGACCTTTAAATAAAGATACATGTACACAGCATTTCATATAGATATATGTTATGAACAATGGCATAGTTCTTGTGTTGAAACTTACATGTACTTAGTTAACCCCAACTGGTTTCATTGCACTGTTTTTAATGTTGTATCTTTGCAGCCAGCAAGATGTGCAAACCAAATTGAAGAAGTCTGTAAAGAAATTGAGAAGACAATCAACCAGACAATACAGAACACACTAAACACACTTGAGAAGGACTGTGAGAAAATTGCTGACCTGGTGGATAAAAAACTGACAATTGATACGTATGTATAAAGAATTATTATTTTGAATTCTACATAAAGGCCTTTTCCCACCCTTTTCACTAAAAATCAGTATCATAGTTTTCTCTATTGCTTGTCACAATTTCTGTGTTTGCCACACAAGAATTTGTCCCAGATGGGAGAGATTGTAAATTTGTTCGTTTTTATGACTTGTGCTATTGTATGACTGATGCAAAACCCCATAGACACCGACAACCTGTGGGCACAATTGCTAGGTATTTGTTGGTTCAGGACTGAATTGTTCTAAATACAAGTCTTGCTTCTCAGAATCACTGACCAATTTGGAAATTTTGGAACATCTCAGGAGACTGATGTATTTCTAGAGTCTGACTACTTAAAAGTTCCCAGATTGAAGCTGGTGTACAGCACAAGTTCCCTTTTGGTTTTAAGTTTTAATGTGTTAATTGCTGCTCATTTTGTTTATTGTTTGTTGTTTATTTTTTACAGGGAAGCATGCTCACACAATCTGAAGGCCAGAGTAAAGGGCATGTTTTTTGGTTTCTTGGGCCTTCTTCTTCCTGTTGTTCTTTTGATCAATTTCTTGGCAAGCAGCAGTGCAAGAGGAACTTTGAATGGACTTGCTGGAAAAGAAGTAGCTGAAAAACTTCATATGTATACTGTAAGTACTACAGCCTCTAACCCTTCAGTTTGTTGTGTTGTGCTGTAAAGGTTTCAGTTGTCTTATCTAAGAAATTTTGACGAAGTTATTTTTATTTTTGATCATGTGCCAAGATCAAGACAAAGTTGAGGTTTGGTAATGAACACAAAGTCAACATTTCAAGATCTGGATCATACAAGCTTTGTCAATGAGATTTTGATTAGTTTTGTATCCAACAAAGAACTATTAACTGCTGGTAATGAACTGGAGTAGACTTATGTAGAGATCTTTAATGATCTTTTACTGACCAAATAGCTTATACTTTTGTCATATAACAATTGAATAAATACATGGCATTTTTGTGTTCTGTGATGAAATCTTGTCAGGGAAATGATGTGTGAAACCTCTATCATGTTGGCAGGCTCCAGTTGAGAAAATGTGGCTGTCAATCCCAGTGGAGTATCATAACCACGCCCTTGTAGGGATGCTGGTGTTTTCTTTTCTGTTGTTAATTGTTGCTAAGCTTTTCTCAAGGTAAGCATCAGCTTGTTTCTGCTTTTAACTGCTCCATGACTCTAGACGTCGCTAGAGTAATAAGCACACTGCAGACTTACAGACCTACACCAACACTGTTGCACAAAAAGGAAGACAAGGCCAAAATTTTGATTTTATTTTTTATTTTTTAATGTCCTTTTTAAGAAACCATTGTTTTTCAAAGTTTCAGTTTACTTGGATCACATAAGACATGTATTTCATATTTTCCCTAAAGTGTAATGAGAAGTTGAAAGAAAGCAGAGAATAATGGTTCTAACTTGTGTACTTTGTACTTCAGACTAAAACCAACCCTGTCACGGAAACAGAAGAAGACACTTCTTGAGCAGAGGTCATATGTGCAGGGATATGTTAAAGGTCACAAGGTGAGACAACTTGTCAGTTTTTTCTTAAATCTCCAAAAAGATAAAGTAAGCGGGTTAGAATAACGTAACACAATATATTTCGTTTTTGCTCAGTGATTTTCTGAGTATAAGTTGGTCCTTCCGTCTCTCGATTCCTGTTAACTTTTTTACTGAATCCGCTGACCAGTGCATAAGGGTTTCGCATTTGCTTGCGTATCAAAGTCAGTAGGTGAAGCTTCTTTTTCGCAAATTGTTTCGATGGTAGAAAGTATGTTTCATGTTTGTGTGTTTCTTTAAACTTAACTTTTCATAATTTATTTTCCGAGTTCTAAGGCTCCCAGCCATTTTGATTAGCCTCCGTTAACGTAATGTGCAGTGGAAATTTATCTCTATAAAGTTCCAGGATTATTATTTGCGTTATTATTCATGGTCTTCTATTGTTACTCAACATTGGCCGCAGCCTTTTTAAACAATTTCGTTGTGCATGTCAGTTTTGAACAAAATAGCACCGCAGTCTAGTACCTTAAAGGCTGTAGGAAATGTACAACCGTGGATTTTTTAACATGTTTTTTGTTGAATGTGCCAAACACAAGTGACTTGCAGATCTTACAGTTATACAGTAAACATATTTTTTAAACTAATTGTTTTCAGGAGCGGCTTTACAGAGAATATCTACAGCAAAGTGTTGGATCTCATGACTTTGATGCTGTCAAGTTCTAATTTATCAGGATAGCTACAAATCGCCAGATGTTGAACCACAATAACATATGATCATGAATTATACATAAATAAAGGTTTATATACGTACACGATCTTTTGTATTGTTTCGAGTATCATCAGCTCTATGTCTCGTAAACTCAAACGAATAAACAAACAAAGTCAAGTTTTCCACTCCCCACATAGCAATGCCCTGAGGTAAGGTAAGGTAAAGTCTGCATGCGAGCCAAGTGGCCCATCAGGCCGGAGCTTATCCCGGTTTCTGTAGCATGAAGCGATTAGGAGAATTTCTACTCCCCCCTGGATGGGATGCTAGTCCACCGCAGGGTTACCCGCAGTATTAAGCTCGCCGGTGCCCATTTATACACCTAGGTGGAGAGAGGCACTGTGAGAGTAAAGTGTCTTGCCCAAGAACACAACACAATGTCCCCGGCCAGGGCTCGAACCCGGACCGCTCGATCCGGAGACGAGCGTACTAACCATGAGGCCACCGCGCCTCCCACAGCAATGCCCTGAGACACTTGTTTAATCTCCGTCAATAAAACTGTCATTTTCAAAACAAAAGTTGACAATTGTACTTTGAGAAGGTCAATCATGATCCATACTAATTACGGTCGGTTCGTCTGCACTGTTAGTTCCGTGGTCAATGGATAAAGACCGAGAAATATTTTGAGTTTTGTGTAATTTTGTTTCAATACGCCCACGATGTTGCCTTTTTCGCCCGGTTAACTTGAAGAAAGACAATTTTTTAAGCACATCTTTCTTTAAACTTCGGTCCGGGGAAACGGCCTTTTAGTGTGGGAGAACTGGCTATTTGGCAAAACGGCTGGTCACCTCCATACCACAACTATCTCCTGTAGTTTGATACAGCTTGATCAGGATTTGTAAACACGTAAGATATTACATATTACGGTCACTCTCGCAAGGAACAGTATAAGTTAGTCTTGATTCCTGCCCAAAATTTGAGAATGGTGAATACCTGATCGTTCCTTTTAAATACGCTGTGCACCGTACAAGGTTCGTTTGGTCACGCTATGGTTATTTTAGCTCAACTACGTTTCGAAACTTGAACATGTAAACTATGACTGGAACGAACTGCCCCAAAGAGTGACGAAAAGGGACGATAAGGTATAACTACCGCTGAAAAATTTAAAATAAATTGAAATAAGGCTATTTCAAGGAAAACGCTGCGAACGTTTCTCGACCACCGCGGTTAAATACCGTCTTACTGTACTAGGCTCACCGCTGTTCGGGAAAGGCGCCCGCGCTCCTCTCCCGGAACGTAGACAAAACCGGCGGAAATCGAGCCTACCGTCCTCCCACAGTAAATAAATACCGCAAATATTTAACCCAGAAACATTGTCTTTATTTCAATTCATTAACGTGTAAGCATCCCTACTGAACAGGAACAGCTCAAATTTGAAATGTCGCAACTCATCAGATGATCCGCGCGCGCGAGAATATAATACAGTGCGCGCGAGTATGATATGACGTAAAAATAGAATGATTACGAAACAATGCAAATTAACGACACTGGCTTAAAAGAAATTAGATATGAGTAGTGCGGTGAGTAAAGGCTAAAACACTTGCAGTAAGACGCCCTTCAGTTGCCGAATGGCAACGTTTCAATACAGCAATAATTTGCACATGGATACCAGAAGAAAAATAATACAAAGGTAAGCAACCAAAATATAAACAGAACAAAAAACGCGACAAAATTTGCTGCTTACATACCAAGTGTATTTAAACGACAGATTCGATTTGTTATGCGGCCTTTATATATAATGTCATGTGCCAAGTGTAAAATCAAAGAGTTACAAATTGTTTAAAGTTGCAAAGCATCAACGGGAAAGAAGACGTTTTAAACTAGTGGTGTCTAAATATTATTTATACATCTACAGAAAAAAAGTTTTAAACTGGCCGCGTTTACAAATCCTGGGCGAAAAACAAAGAAAGAGTTTCAAAATGCCTCTACCTTTATATCACGTGCAGATATTAAGACACGATTAAAATTTGCAGTGTATATGAAACATGTAGCCTTTAAAAACAAGCGAGCCTTAAAGTTAAAGTGCTCCCCTTAATAACATGTGTGCATCTGTGGGATGAATCGAGATAAACTGAGATGAGTCTGATTTTAAGCGCTTTCAAGTAGCGGAGTAAATCAAGAAAGTTTTAAATTTACGAATTCTATAAATAAAGTGGCTAAAAATTGGGTTGTGCATATATAAACAATGGACCACCAAACAAAACCTTGTAAAGTTACGGAGTCTTTATATATCAAGTCTTTCAAGTTGCGGAGTCCATATATCAAGTGTTCAAATATACAGAGTCTTTAAGTCAGGTGTTTAAAGTTGCGGAGAATTCGTATCAATTGTTTACAGTTACTGGATCTATATTTTAGGTGTTTAAAGCTGCGGAGTCTATATGTCAAGTGTTTCAAGTTGCGTTGTCTATATATCAAGAGTGGATCACCAAAGAAGAAGTTGTAAACTTGCAGAGTCTGTATATTAAATGTGTGAAGTTACAGAGTCTTTATATCAAGCATTTAAAGCTGCCATGTCTATGTATCAAGAGTGGATCACCAAAGAAAAAGTTGTAAAGTTCCGGAGTCTTCCTATCAAGTGTTTTAAGTTGCGTTGTCGATATATCAAGAGTGGATCACCAAACAAGAAGTTATAAAGTTGCGGAGTCTTTATATCAAGTGCTTAAAACTGCCATGTCTATGTATCAAGAGCGGATCACCAAAGAAGTTGTAAAGTTTCGGAGTATTTATATCACGTGATTAAAGTTGCGCTGTCTATAAATCAAAAGTAAATCACCAAAGAAGAAGTTGTCAGTAAAATTGCGGAGTATTTATATCAAGTGTTTAAAGTTGCGTTGTCGATGTATCAAGAGTGGATCACCAAAGACGAAGTTCTAAAGTTGCGGAGTATTTATATCAAGTGTTTAAAGTTGTGTTGTCTATGAATCAAGAGTGGATCACCAAAGAAGAAGTTGTAAAGTTGCGGGGAATTTATATCAAGTATTTAAGTTGCGCTGTCTATGTATCAAGAGTGGATCACCAAAAAAGAAGTTGTAAAGTTGCGGAGTCTTTATAGCAAGTGTTTAAAGTTGCGTTCTCTTTGAATCAAGAGTGGATCACAAAAGCTAAGAAGAAGTTGTAAAGTTGCGGAGTATTTATATCACGTGTTTAAAGTTGCGTTGTGTTTGAATCAAGAGTAGATCACCAAAGAAGAAGTTGTAAAATTGCGGAGTATTTATATCAAGTGTTCAAAGTTGCGTTGTCTATGTATCAAGAGTGGATCACCAAAAAAGAAGTTGTAAAGTTGCGGAGAATTTATATCAAGTGTTTGAAGTTGCGTGGTGCATATATTAAGAGTGGAGCACCAAAGAAGAAGTTGTAAAGTTGCGAAGTATTTATCTCAAGTGTTTAAAGTAGCGTTGTTTATGTATCAAGAGTGGATCGCCAAAGACGAAGTTGTGAGATTGCGGAGTATTTATATCAAGTGTTTAAGTTGCGTTGTCTATGTATCGAGAGTGGATCACCAAAGAAGAAGTTGTAAAGTTGCGGAGCCTTTATATGAAGTGTTTAAAGTAGCGTTGTCTATATACCAAGAGTGGATCACCAAAGGCGAAGTTGTAAAGTTGCGGAGCCATTATATCAAGTTCGTAAAGTTGCGGAATCTTTAAATTAAGTGTTTAAAGTTGCGTTGTCTATGTATCGAGAGTGCATCAGCAAAAAGGAAGTATATAAGTGGCGAAGCGTTAATATCAAGTGTTTCAAGTTGCGTTGTCTATAAATCAAGAGTGGATCACCAAAGAAGAAGTTGTAAAGTTGCGGAGTCTTTATATCAAGTGGTTAAAGTTTCGTTGTCTTTATATCAAGGGTGGATCACAAAAGAAAAAGTTGAAAAGTAGCGAAGTGTTAATATATATCAAGTGTTTAAAGTTGCGTTGTCTTTACATTAAGTAAGTAAAGTTGCGTTGTCTATGTATCACAGTGCATCACCAAAGAAGAAGTTGTAAAGTTGCAGAGTCTTTATATGAAGTATTTTAAGTTGCGTTGTCTATGAATAGAGAGTGGATCTCCGAAGAAGGAGTTGTAAAGTTGCGGAGTCTTTATATCAAGTGTTTAAAGTTGCGTCGTCTATGTATCAAGAGTGGATCACCAAAGAACAAGTTGTAAAGCTGCGGAGTCTTTACATCAAATGAGTCAAGTCGCGGTGTCTATGAATCAAGAGTGGATCACGAAAGATGAAGATGTAAAGCTGCGGAGTCTTTACATCAAATGAGTCAAGTCGCGGTGTCTATGAATCAAGAGTGGATCACGAAAGATGAAGATGTAAAGTTGCCGAGTCTTTACATCAAGTTTGTAAAGTTGCGGAGTCTTTCTATCAAGAGATTAGAGTTGCGTTGTCCATGTATCAAGAGTGGATCATAAAAGAAGAAGTTGTAAAGTTGCGGAGTCTTTATATCAAGCGTCTAAAGTTCCAGACTCATTTTACAAAGTTTTTAAATCTGCAGATTCTTTATGTCAAGTGTTTAAAGTTGCGGAGTGTTCTCTGAAGTGTTAAGTTGCGGAGTCTTTATATTAACTGTTTAAAGTTGCGGAGTCTTTATATCAATTGTTTAAATTTGCGGAGTCTTTATGTCAAGCGTTTAAAGTTGCACAGTCTTTATGGCAAGTGTTTAAAAATGCGCTGTCTATGTATCAAGCCGGAGTGGATCACCAAAGAAGAAGTTTTAATGTTGGAGGACCTATATTTCAAGTGTTTAAAG